GCCACTGCTGGCAACCTCAGGTTTCGGTTACTTTTCCCACAAGTGGGTTTTCTCGCAAATACACCTTCCTCCCTCTCTTTGTGTTCCGAGTACATGAAGAGGAAATACACTGAACAATGACTGCACAGGTCCTCTCCTTTGCCAAAACCAAGGAAATATAACACTTTTCAAATTCTTTTCATCTTAGTGCATTATTTCCCAAAAACAAAACAAAAAAGAAAGGTTTCATTGTGTTAAAGAACTCTTTCAAATCGTGAAGTTTAGATCAGCTTGCCTTCACAGTGTCAAGAGCATTAAGCGCAGCCTCCAGGACTGGGATCGCCTCTGCCAGGTCACTTTCACATTCATTTTTCAATGCCTGAGCTTCCTCAGCTTTTTCTGTAGCCATTTCTTCATCTACCTTTACAGTCTTCCTTTTTTGTTCTACTTGTGCAGATTCTATTTCTATAGTCTAAAGAAAAACACATAGTGGAGCTTCCTATTGAGCAGTGAATGATCAAATAAACTGCAATTACTTAGTATAGCACTTACAGAATACTGTAAAATACAAAGAGAAAATTGAAGTATTTCAGTATTTTCACATATTTTCAATTTATGTTAAAGGAATAATTTATTTCTTAGCATCATGTAATGTCAAAATGGAGCTTTAATAGTAGGTAAACTGCATGAAATCAGATTACTGTCAATATAAGCTATTTAAAATACGTTTGAAGTTCAGAAGATAAGAAATTGGAGATCAGCTTTTAACTAAAAGATGACTAGCTTTTATAGTGCATTTTCATAGCTTCATAGTCTATCACATTGACTAATGAAATTTATTTCCTTTTCAGTGATGAGTCAAGCCTTCATCCAAGTACTACTTTTTCAGTTCTGCAGAAGAGACATTGAGTTTTCTTAGAGGTTTATAAGAGTAGGTAGAAAAGATATCACTGTATCTGTAAAAACTCTTATAGATGAGAAGCAAGTGCATAAAAACATCGATCAAATCTTGCTTTTTTTGAGATGCAACAGTAATATACTGTATAAGTGTATTTTTACAAGTGAAAATTCTCAAAAACACCTAGAGTTTGGTTCCTAAATCCCACTAAATTTATATGAAGTTAATCCTTTTTAGGATGCTATTAAAAATCAAGCGTATAATCCCTGTGTATGCAAAGACAGACTGTGCAAAACTGTTCTTGTTTATTTGGTATGCTGATGAACAAGCAGGCCAATGGCATCCTGGGGTGTATCAGAAGGGGTGGTTGTAGGTCAGAGAGGTTCTCCTTCCCCTCTACTCTGCCCTGGTGAGACCACATCTGCAATATTGTGTTCAGTTCTGGGCCCCTCAGTTCAAGAAGGACAGGAACTGCTTGAAAGAGTCCAGCACAGAGCCACAAAGATGATGGAGGGAGTGGAGCATCTACCTTCTGAGGAGCGGCTGAGGGAGCTGGGTCTCTTTAGCTTGGACCAGAGGAGACTGAGGGGTGACCTCATTCATGGTTATAAATTCGTAAAGGGCGAGTGTCAGGAGGAAGGAGCCAGGCTCTTCTCAGTGACAGCCAATGACAGGACAAGGGGCAATGGGAGCAAGCTGGAGCATAGGAGGTTCAACCTGAATATGAGGAAAAACATTTTCACTGTAAGGGTGCCAGAGCATGGCCCAGGCTGCCCAGAGAGGTTGTGGAGTCTCCTTCTCTGCAGACATTCAAAACCCGCCTGGACGTGTTCCTGTGTGACCTGGTCTGGTGATCCTGCTCTGGCAGGGGTTGGACTGGATGATCTTTCGAGGTCCCTTCCAACTCCTAATATTATGTTCATGGTTTTTGCAATGTTTGTGAATGATCTTGTGAAATCTGGTCTAATCACTGTGAGCATGAAAGTTCCTCTAACATCCTTCAGCATGAAGCTTAAGCAAGGACTGTACCTCCAGAGCCTGTATCTAAATTTTCTTCCAGTTCTAAGGACAGAAGCATAAATAGTGGCAAGTTTCACAATACTGTAAACCCCAGTGAACAAAAAATGAGCTCAAAAACCTGAACTCAACTCTTATTTTCTGAAAGTCACATATCAGCAACCTTATATAGGCATATTCTTTAGAACCTGTCTAAAATCAGCTGAGACACTGAAGTAGAAATACATCGTACAACTAAGACTACTCATTCAAAGCTAATTATTACAAAGGTCAAATTATGGATCCCAAGTATATACATGCTTACATTAAAAACCACAAAGTTGTATTTATATAACTATACCTTCATCATCTTTGCATTATCCAATATAGCCACCTCCAGTTTGGGCTGCAGCTGAACTAGTTCTAGTTTCATCTCACCAACCTATACACATGCAAAAGGATCAGGTAGGATTCAGAAGTGCCAAGTACTATTTCCAACAATTTCTATAAGAACTACATTTTACCTAATGACTAATTTACTGATAGAAGGAAATTACATTCAGTTTCAAATCAAAACACTCCAGAGACTTATTTTTATCTTACATGTACAACCTCTAATTTTAAGAGCTATGTTCACTTATAGTGACCTGTTACCCACTTAAGAAAGGGAAGCTCTGTTCATATGCTGCTTAGTAATACATGGCTAGAGGACTGTAGCCTCTAGCACAAGTGCTATGACTGTAGCAAAAGAAAGGCAAAATACACTTCTTATAGTTTTACTGTTGAAAACTGAGCTAAACAAAACCTGAAGTGATGCTTTTTTACTGACTTCTCCTGGAAAAGACCTGCTTTTGCCAAACATTTTTGTATTTTCAGTTTCATTTTTGTCCTAACTCACCTGTGATTCAGCAAAAGCTATCTTGTCTAGTCCATTCACATATTTCTTCTTGGCTTTCTTTACAGTGTCTCGTTTCTGAGTAAGAAGTTTCTGAAATGCAGCAATAAGCTCAAGATAAGAAGCAGGAGTAACATAATTATGGCGTCCCAGACTTTGCAAGAACCTATTAAAAAGAAAACAAACCCGAAAACAGTACCTTAAATTTTTGTTTTGTGTTTTCAGTTTAACTATTGCTAAACTAAGTTATGTAACCGTTTGACAAATAATAGGAGTAAACAATTTCAACAATTTCATGTAAGTTTTATGAAGACAGATAACATACATTAACTTTTAATACAGAAATGAGTAGTAATGAAACTCAATCATCTGTTTTGTTATTTACTTCTAAAAATTCAACTTTTTAGTTTCCTCTTGCTCAATTTACTACTTTCAACAGCATAATCTTTTACCTCTTAGTATTTCTATAAAGAAATTAGTTGTTCTCAAAAGAAACAGACTGACCTTACAGAGAGTGACAAAACTGAAGTGTGAAAGTATTTGCAGACAGACACAACTTCCTGACGCTCACTGTCTGTGAGCTGAAGCGTTTCTAAGAACTTATTAGCCACACATTCAAGGGCATCTTCAGGCCATGGCTGAGGGATAAGCGAGGAGAGAAGCATTTGTAAAATTCAGCTGTTAGCAGTCTTCACACTTCAAAAATATTTTTTACCATTCAAAACACCAGAATGAGACTCAACAGCACCAACTATGTCTATGTCAAGAACAATGAACTGATATATCAGACAGCAAGATCCCTACCCATAAAATCTTTTCTGGCAAATTCTGGCTGATCTTATAGTTAAAAGCTACATATTGCTGTTCTATCTAAACATTTATGTGTCTATGTTATCTCTTGGCAGAAAAATTAATTGACATCAACACCAGGCCAAGCTATGGAGCTAACTGCACTTTCCTGAGAGTAACACTGCTTGTACCAAGGATTGTTAACTACCGTAATTTTCCAAGTTTTATTCTGCTATAAAAGATCTACTGATAAACAACAGGACTTTTATTTGCTAGCCATTTCCATGATGCATGATCTGCTTAACAGGCAGGAAAATATAATCATGTAACAATCGCAATGAAATGGTTTCTCTAGCCCTTTAAAACATACACATTACATGAAAAAATGACAAATTACCATGACAGAACGGAGGCTATTCACTCCTTCAGAAATGTATAATTTGTAGCAGCAAAATTTAAATTTGTTTAGCTGCAGGAATACTGAGATCATACACTAAAGAGCTCCCAAAATACTACAAAGAATGCCTAAGCTATTCTAAAATTTTGAAAAGCATGCAGTACTTCTACAAATATGACAAGAAAATGTAACGGGGCATGAAAATACAGACTGTTAGAAAACTGAACCGGTTTGTTGAAGAAACAGTATAAATATTCTCACATACCTGGAACCAGTCAATAGTACAGCAGTTGATGAGTGATGGAAACTGCCTCAGATGATTGCGGAAAGCATCTCCAATTGGGCTGAAGGCTACCACAATATGGAGATTCTCTTTGCAGCGGTTCACAAAAAGTTCAAACAAGGCCAAGGGACTGAGTTCTTCTTGTTTATTGCCAGTCTGAACTATTGCATGAACACCCTGAGGAATAATGCATAAGGCAAAAACTGTTACATAGTTTCTCATTAAGCACTTCTGAAGTCCTACAGCAATGCTGTTAATGACAGCATCACCATGAAGTAAATTTTTTCATTGATAAATGGAACAGGGACAATAAACTAGAAGAACAGAAGAAGTAGTATTATCTGAGAATGGGATGACGATATATATATATCTGTGACTCTGACAACTCATTCTATAAATGATCATCTGCTGCTTTGAGCCACTGAGAATACTTCAGAACAAAAACTAAAAATCCATCCCAAGATGAGTTCCAGACAGATAAGACACATTAAGATGAGACAGAGGGTTAAGACACATTCTGAAAAATCAAAATTCATAGTTAGCTCCCACAAGAAGTAAGGAACCAAAGCCTTCTAACAATAAATATAATAATCAGGCTTAATTACAATCAAACTTCAGTCACTGAAAGATTGAGGAGATACAAACAGATGAGGCAAATTACTACTCTCATTACAAAAAGCCGCTATTACAAAAGCAAATGTTTTTCTCATCATGTACACTTCAAGTGCCATACAAGCCCTCTAAACAACATTTCAAGACATTAAACTTACTAAGAACTTTTGTAGCTTTAATATTATACTAAAATATGCTGTATTTACCTAACTGAAGAGGAAGATTTAAGTTTCAAACATCAAAACATACTCTATTTGTTCATTTACCAAAACCAGCAATCTCTCGAAACAAGAAGCAGCCTCTAAGTTTGAAACTAAAGATCACTTCATAAAACTATTATTATAATTATCCTCAATTAATTAACAATTCATGAAGCACTGACTATAAGCCCCTAACACTCAAATTATTCTTCCATAAAAGCATGTATACGTTACATAATCCCACAATTAAAATAAATGACAAAAATTAATAGAGTACAAGTGGAAACATTTTGATGTAGCAGATTTAAATGAGTAAAAACCAACTTTGCTCCAGTTGGTATATTATGGATAGCTACCAAGTTCTATCATACACCAACTGAATATGTTCGTACAAATAGTAAAAGAGCTACATTACATTAATATTGTTATTATATACCTGGCAAGAATGAAACAGTAATTGAGAAAGATAATTAGAATAGCAATCTAGCTTCATTGGAAAATACATGGAATGCAGGTATCAACATGTTCCTTTACTTAAGCATAGGAAAATAATACATTTATCATGTGATATAGCTCTTCCAATAAAGAACATTTTTGTTTATACTAAGAACCACTTTGAATGTCAACTAGAAGCCTACCTAGTTCACACTGAACTGGCAAAATATCTGAAGAGGAAGAGAGATTCACTTAATTAACCAAATTAACTTAATTTTAAAAAAAAATTAAAGATACCTCTAGAATTTCTTGTTCTTCACCTGCTCCAAAAAGATTGGGTACCTCCCCTGTGTTGAGGACACTATCAACATCTTCCAAAAAGCTTTCTTCTTTAATTTGTGCATCTGTGATTATAAATATAGTCTTCAAGCCTTTTACACCCGCATTCTTCAGAAGACTCTAAAAATGCAAGACAATTAAAATATAGTACATTCCCAAACATCCTACCTCAAAAGTCAGTCAAAATGCACACAGGTTATTAATACTCACTTTCAGATCTTCTCTCCATTCATTTGTACCATAGGTCTTGGAACTCTCTGGCTGAAAAACACACATCTTTGCCATGAATGCTGCTAGACGAGTCAGAGACTGACGGCCACTTCCTCCCATTCCAACCAACAAAGCATGACCCCTTGGCTGCTTCAGAATACGACTGATACGAGACAAATGTTCCAACATATACCTATATTTGAAATGCGTGGATTACCAGAATAGCAGAAATATATATATATATATTTATGCACTTATAAATCTGTGAGATGAGTATAGAAGTAGCATCTCTAAGACAAACTTCTAAAAGTTGTGCGGGATGGTGAGGTGCAAGAAGAAGAATGGGAGTGGGTATGCACCACAAAATAAAGTAAAACAAAACTCACAACTCTTCTACTATACAAATATCAGTATTTAGCGAAGTTACAAATGACTACAGATTACTAAAGGAATTTGCAACAGTGAGAAGAGGAGCACGAGATGGATATAAAGATGTCAAAGGAAAAGAAAAACAACAGAAGTTTTCTACTTCTAAATCAGAGCAGCATTACCATTTTCAACTTTCTTCAAATATAATAGTTTAGATACTTTTTAAAGGAACAACTGGTGAAGAATGGGTTATATCAACAAAGCTCTCCCTTCCCTCTGCCTCTGACAATGTTTTATAACCTACACGTGAAACAGAGATTGGAACAACTTCTGAAAGCAGTATCTGCACATTACTGAGAGTCCTATCTGTTGTGAAAACACAAGCATAGTTCATCTCAGAATATGCAGCAAGGTCTGCATATTACCTGCTTCTGTACAGGGCATGGAGTAGAGTTAAAGCAAGCTGAGCAGCAGTTAAAAGTGGTCTTAAGAAAAGTTAAAGCATTTGAAAAAGAGATAAATTCTTGTTTATTTTGATTGGTTAGAAAAAGAATGGAGTCAAATCCAGATGTTATCAATGAGATCTGACTCTAAGGCTACAGTCAGACATGCTCTCCTGGCTGCTGTTCAGTGAGGTAACTGGGATATTGCTTCAAAACTCAGGAGTTTGCCTCTGATCAGATGCTGCCAGCTCTCCAAACTCCCAGCATAGTGGTATATAGAGATACTCACAAAGTCAGCTTGCCAAAATGACTTGGCTAAAATAAGCTGCAGTTCTAACGAACTGTTTAAACTAATCCTAATCACCTTATGCATGAAGCATCTATGTGTCAAGTTACACTGGCAAATATGAATCAGTAAGGCAGTAATCATAGCAATAGGGAGGAGGAAGGAGTTGTGACCTCCTAACCTGTCTCATTTGTAGCCTGATCACAAGTTAAGGTAACAACAGCAGCCTACACTCTGAAATCTCACATGATTAGCTGAAGTACCAGGCTGGATACATGCCCCAAAGTAGGGCGTGACTGTGCTGCATAATAACAGAACAGACAGATGGCTATAACTGTGCTATATCTCACTCTGCCCCTCACAACCTTAGAATCCTTGTCCTCAGTGAAATGGCAGGCAAAACTGACATCCATCTTCACCAGTAACAGAGGCCCAGCAGAAGTAGAGCACTCACCTGATTTGGTACACAATGTTTCTATAACAGCCAAAGAATATATTCAAAGTCCCTTAGAAGAAAAACTTCTTATTACTTACTTTCAGATAGAAAATGCAGAAGCATCAGAAAAAAAAAATCAGTTCACTTCCATCCAAAAAGGTGTAACACCACACACACTTTTGTGGATGCATAGAGGGATACCAAAAAAAGGTTGCATAAAGACATACAAAAAACACAGCCCATAAAATTGGATATATGCAATTATCAACTACTGTTTAGAGCTCTTAAAAATACAGATTGTATGCACCTGAAGACTACAAGGCTCATTCCTGTTTTGTGGGTTTGATTATATTCATTCAGACACTGCTCCACAACATCTCCAAACAGCTGAATGCTTGGAATTTCAACATAAAGTCTTTCATCTCCTTCAAGTTCTGGAATCATGTAGTCACCAAAAAACAAACTTCTCAAGTTTTCTTCCGTTACCTACAGGAAACATTTAACAAATTATGAAGTCAAGTTTAATATTAAATGAACATATTCCTCATCGGTATTTTAGAAAACAAAGGAGAGTTTAGACAAATACTCAAGACATAAGAACAAGCAGTCTGAAGTATTTTGACTCACAGACAACAGCCACCTGAAAACTCTATTTCCTCCATTAAACAATACACGTATTCATAACTGTTCTTGGAACACAATTGGCTCAGATAACCATCAACAGGCTCATAATCATGACCTTCAGATTACACCAAATTTATACAGATGTATGTTTAGCAATTTTCAATATATTATAAAATAGACAGCTAAGACCACAAAGATATTTCTTCTATATATCAGTGAAATGACATGAAATAAAAGAGAAACAGAAAAAAAGGAAGACAAGGCACATGACATGATACCATGATTACACAACATTTTAAATACTAAAACTTCATAACAATTACAGAATGCTGTTTACTACACTGTAACTCAGTCACAGGTTAAATTTAAATAAGGGAATGTCTCCTTATCCTGTCAATCAGGTCTCTGCAAGTCCATTTAGGAGTAGTCTAACTTGCATTTCTCCTTGCAGGTACTGTACTACGTGCAGATCCCAGCTACTTTTGGGGTAGTGATATATGTGTTACTTTGTTTTTTCTGTCACACTACCTGCCATTGCTCAAAGATTCAGTATGTGCTACGACACCTCCAAGAAAAGATGTGACAGAATTTTTTAAGAAGTTGCTCTGCTCACCTCTGCTCACAATGAATAATTGGATGCCTTATTTCTATGTGCAGACATTTAGGATCTTAATAAAATACTATGCTTGTTAAATTAAATTTCACAAGGTATAAACACTCGGGGTTTTTCAGGTAAATCTGAAAAAAATGTTGCACTATTTTTTTTTTCATTGAGTAAGAAAGAAATTTCCTTTTCATTATCAGAGGCACAAAATTCTTTTATGGAAAAGTAATACGTTTACTCACATTTTTAATGTACAATTAAAACCTTTCAAACATTTTCACTCTTATTTTTCTTCCAAAGAAGCTATTTTGCCAAATTCAACTCAAATTTTCAAGCACATTTGATCCAAAATTTCACCTGTGATTGAGAAACTTTCTAGTCCTAAATTTATAACAAAAGCAATTATTTTACAACAGGTTAAACGTGATACTCACAGGTGTGTTTTCTTGCTTCAGGTGTGCAAAAACCAAATCAAACTCTTCTTTGAAATGTTCTTTCACAACACCTTTCATTAAATTGAACAGCCAGGCTCTATCATTGTCTTCCACTAGACGGTCATAGAAGACACGAAATACCTCATGTACAAACAGCCGAATCATTACATGTTTGTTTTCAACTGATTCTCTCTTAATAAGCAAGCAGCCACAGATAACACGTGAAAAGTCACGCAGGTTGAACGTATAGTGAGATTTGGCTGGTGTGGGCAAAAGATTGTTGATGGCTTTCTTATATACCTTAAGATAATAGCAATAAAAAAGAACAAAATCAACAAAACAGCAACACTGACTATATTATTACAATAAATACTTTATGTTGTCTAAAATTTTATTTCTCTGGGAAAACATTTCATACTTAATGAAGCCTAATAATGTCTAAAGATGTCAAAGTCCTCTGAATATATCAGATGAACCTCATGCAGTTCTGGAACACACATGTGCTACTAATATAAATTCTAAAATGGGAAAAGTAATTGTAGCAAGTATAAAGAAATCTGTTGTAGGACCAGGAATACCACTCAGATCTCTTGACTTCCTTTCATTATATGACATCCTCTTTCAAGTAAAATATTGAGTGATATGTAATGGCAACTTCCTAGATTTTCACTTGTTTCAATCTATTTGTCCGCATATCTACAAATTATTCAAAAATAAATAGTAAAAATGCTGAAGAAATATGCAGATCAAGAAAAGAGCCTTTTGACTACATTTTGCTCTAAGCTGGAATGCATTGACTGTTGTTAGCTCATGCTGTTATGACAGAAGTAGTGTCATTTCTCACTACACTAAACATAAATAACATGCTGAAGTGAATGCTGACAGGGGAAACTTTTAACCTGTCTCTGTATACTCGTAGGTGAAGATAATTATCAATCAGCAACCTGCTAAAAAAAATGTTCAATAAAGTCAGGTTTTACAGGCTTAACTATATCCACTGTACCGAGTATACATTCTGCCTGTTGTCCCATGTCCAAAGCCAATCCCAAATCCCAGTTCTTCTATTATACTTTCGCCCTAGGAGTTGGAGGGTATTACTTACCAGGATGAAAATCCATGTTAGAACAGACTCTATAGCAGGTAAATGTGTAAGAGCCTAACAGTATAAACAAACTTTGATGCAGTCTGATGAGAAATATTGGATGACTGTGTTAAAAGACAACACTCAAATTGGTTTAAGATGTATCCTGACAAAACTGGATGTTTTAACTATGTAGTCAAATGCATTCAAATTGCTAGTAGCTGCTATCATTATTTTCTGTTTAAAGAAGCAAAACTCGATAATTTCTTGCTAATTACTTGTTTGGTTGTTTTAGAAGAACTAATTGAACCTACAAAAAGATTTCTAGTGGCAGTAGTTGGTCAGCCTTGTGATTCGTACACTGAATCTATCATCTGGCTACAGTTCTGAAATACCACCTCTGCAAGTCCTTGGAATGAGAAGGATTTAATCTTGAGTGTGCCCTTGGGTATAAGCAGAATTAATGGAAAAGACTGAGAAAGTCCTCAGTTCTGTAGTGGAAGGAAGTCACATCTGCTGTGAAACTTCAGCCATTTGCTTTTGCCTTGCTGATCAGATTTTCTGTCAGAATTTTTCATTGGTCAAATATTAGCTACCTAATGCATTTTCATGATGAATACTTATGGTAGGCAATAGGTTTGTTCACACTGATACTGATTTCTGCTACGTAACAAGCCAGCAAAGCTATACTTCGATATTATGCAACTGACTACTTCTTTGCAAAGAAGTCACGAATTGCCATTGCTTTTTTAATGTTTACAGCACACTGCAAATGTGATACTCGCTAAAATCTGTAACATGGAACTTCACAGAACATTTTGAAAATCCATACAGCTGGGCCTAGGGCCTCTCAATTTCACAGCACTTCTGTGATGTCTCTTGTCATACTGGTGTTAGATTCTGCAAAGCTGCATGTTTAGGTTGGCTTCCTTAGTCTGCTATGATGTGTCAACAATTAGCATCAAAACCAGGAGAAGGAGGAGGAGAGTGGAGAGCGTGACTTCTTCTTTGTCTCTCCAAGATGGAATTTTGGAAGGGGTGAGATTGATATTTTCATTTTGTCTTTGCATGTAACAACTCATGCCAGTCTGACCCCAAAGAGATTCCAGTCTCACCTACTTGACATTATGTGGACAGGTTCTACGGAGCCCACATTAACACAGATTCAAAGACAATTTTCCTAGAATCAGAAGGTTACTGCAACAATAAAACTAAGACAATTTCATCAAAGCAGATGAGGCTGTATGTTAAAAATAATAAGAAACAAAAATCTAAAATCTCTGCTTCACCAATTAAATGATTATACAGTCAGTGGAACTTTACTAAACAAATTAAAGGAAATTTCCATTAAGTTATTTGCCTCTTACCTCTAAAGTGGCAGTGACAATTTGAATTCCAATTGTAAAGAACTCAGGAGAAAAATCACTAGTCCGTAGGTGGAAAGCTACTATGGTAGAGAAGATGCGTATCATTGTTTCATCGCTAAAAGAATTAACAGTGCAAATGTTTAAGTGTCGCAAAAATCGAGGAGTAACAGAATTCCTTCCATCGCCTGGAGGCCCCATAGCAGCAAGGAACTGTGTATCAACAAGTTTAATTTTAGATGTGTCCTTCAAATCATACCTTCAAAATAAATTGCAAAATGACATTTAGATATAGTTACAGATACAAAACTTTCATTTCAGCTTAGATGCATCTATATTACAGAATACTCTCTGCATGTGTAACATATGTACTTAAAAATATATTTTAAAAGTACATTAAGAAAATAAAAAAATGCCTCACAAAAACCCCAAGAACAACTAGTCTTATAACTATGCACAAAATAATATCAACGCATCATATGCTGGCCTGAAAGATTATTTGTCTAAACTGGGTCACAAAAAACCTGATAGGAAATTTTGGAACAAGCATTTAAAACTGTACTGTGGGAAGATGTATCACCTCTATTCAAGAGCAACAGATAACTGAGCGGCATCTGGAATCACAAATGTCACGATATCGGAGAAGTGCCTTGAATCACAGAATAATTCAGGCTGGAAGGGATCTCAGGGAACCCCTTGTTCCAATCTTCCAGTCTAAGCAGAGCAAAAAACCTCAAAAGCAGGGAAGACCTTTAGCTTATTTTGCTTCGTGCCTATTACCAGAACTGATTTCATTGTTATTTTAAAAAAATATTTTGAAATGCTCTTAAAAAAAGCTGTGATGACAAATAGAATCTTGGATGACAGTAAAAACCAATGCAATGAGTAAAATCAAAATTTTATATAATTGCATAAATATATATACACGCACACATATATATGTGTACATTTATAACATTGCCAATTCACTCTGAGGAGGAAGAGAAAGGAAAGGAACAAGAAACTTCACTCGAAAAATAAAAACAATTAAAAATGCAAACATAAAAAAAATTCAAGTGTAAAAGAATTATTTTATTTATATATACAAATACTGCTGAAGTTCAGTAATAAAAACCTTCAAAAACACCCAAAACAAATTTGATTGTCAAGTTCTTAAATTAAAAAGTTAGCTAAAGAGCAATACAGAAGTTGCTTCAACTTTAAATATTTTTATATAAACCAGAGCTATCTGAACATCTACAAAGCAGAGTTTTGAAAATTAAATTCAAGTGAATAAATAACAGCAAATGCAGCAATAAAAAAGTTTCAATTACCAAAATCCATGGTCAAAGAACTGTCTTAAAAGTTCTATAGGAGGCTGTGCACCATACTTCTCCAAAGCAGGCATATTCATATCATCTACAAAAATAATGCACTTTTTTCCCACTGGAGAGCCAAAGACTCCTTTGCGCCTCTTGTCCAGCCTGGCCATAATAATGTTCTATAATGCAGATAGGAATATTCAAAACATAGATTAAATATTCATATATGTTGTATTTTTGAAATATAAACTATGTGCTCTACTAACCTGGGTCTGATCTGCAGTAGTTCGAGCTGAAAAATTAATGAAGAAGGGAAAGAAGCGCTCTTTTTCCAAGTTGTTCACTAACTTGTCCTTGACATATACAGATTTCCCAGTACCTGCTGGTCCCACTAAAAGCAAAGAAAGAAATAAAGCACACATGCTGCGGAAGTCTAACAAACTATAAACTAACCACAATTAGAAGTCAGTTTTTACTAACTTGCCCTGCTTGTTCCACTTCTAAAAACATTGTGTGCCTTAAGAAGAAACTAAAATGTTTTAACACATTCATATAACTCTCTCATAATTCTAGTTTGTTTTCACCAAGACGACAACGGGGGAAAAGACAAAGGGATGTTTCTCATTCCCTCATTCCACTGGCTTTGGAGTCAATATGAACATACATGGGAGTTAAATTTCTCCTGATAGGTCTTGCAATAGTTAAAACTTCATAAAATTTTCAGTCTTGAAATGTAACCTGAGGCTGGTTTGTATTTCATTCTCTTACACGACCTGATCACAGCTATTATAACCAGTTTTCATACGACTTATCAAAGGAAAAAAAAATACCTATATTTCATTACGAAAGAAGGAAAAGGGTACAAAACCTCTTTTGACCTCTTTTGTCATAACAACAGCATGAGAATGAGCGTATTAAAACTGGACTATAAACAAGGCTTCATAAAAAACCCACAAAACCAGACCTTAGGCAACAAATCGTGTTGTTTGTAGTAAATGTCTATTTTTAGCAGGCCAAATAAACTTTGAGGTCTTTATGAAAATAATAAAGTCAGTGGAAAGAATATGAGATATTTCTACCAATGACCAATATTTCAGAAGTTTGCGCTGAAGTAACTTACTTTCCATGGGTAATGAACAGCTCTATCAAATAGGTATACCGGACTGTATTCATAGTTGGGACTATAATATCCTGAATCTTCACATTTTTATCACTATAATGAATATCTTTAATAAAGCCATTCCAGTGAACACAACATCCTCTGCCTTTCAGCTAGGACAAAATACAGATGTAAAAAGAACAGTGTTATTTCTATACGTATGGAAGGTTCTCTCTACTACTTCACATTTTAAAAATAAAAATAATTCATTTTAATAAATTAATAAATGTTAAATGTTTCAGAAGTTCATAAACTTCATTTACTTTATCTTAGTAATAAGTGTTTAACTACATACCTAAGCTTAGATTCCTGTCTTTTCTAAAAACGTTTGGTTCAGCCAAAACAAACAAAAACACACAAAAAAGTAACAGAGGAACGTGTGCAAAAATCAAAAAATAGAAGTAGAATCTAACATTTCTAATGGCTACTAAAAACAAAATAGTAATATAAGCAAACTGCCTATGAACTCAATATCCTGCTTTCCTACTAGACAGTCCACATCTTTCCTTCCATACAAAGCCAGACTTGAGTCCATCGGCTTAGCTTTAGCTACAGAATAACTCTAATGTGGCAACTTTATAACTGATGTGTACATCTTGGTATTTTAAAAAAAATTTAGTCAGCACATGAGTATTCAAAACAGCAAAATACATGAAAAGTGCACTGTGGGATTTAATCCAACACCAACACTACAACATCCAACTTGCTTTATAAAGTTAAAACATCCACCTAGATGTATTTTCTAATAGTCTAAATCAAAAGAATCTACTTCAGTCAATGGAGAAGCAATCAACCACACCTCATACATGTAGTCATAGACCAAGCCTTTCTCTTCAATAGGACACTCCCATTTTCCCACACTTGTTGGTATAGGATTTGTTCCAGATTTCCCAGCCAAAGTTTCCCTCAAGAAATCATCAAAAATTATCTTGCTGTCACCATCACAAGTTCCACCAATGGACCAGATTGTGGCAAATGCAAAGCAACCCTGTGAGGTCAAAAAGACAAGCAACTATCTAAAAAGTCAATATATTATATGAACCTTGTACAGTTTGATTAGCAAATATAATTCTGAAAAATGCCATTAAGCAAATAGGTGTTACAAGTTACCCTGAAACAGCCCAACAGAATTAGAAATCTGACTAAAGACAGAGGAAAAAAAATCTTATTCAAGAATATATAAACACACATATGACAAAAAATAAAGGCCACTGACTAAAGCATTATGTCACATGACAAAGCCTGAGAAGAGTTCAACCATGTGGTCGCAGAAATTTTCTAATTACAAAACAGGATTTAGGAATTTTCTAATTCAATTTTAAATATATACTTTTAAATTCTGTTTTCTCCAGTTTTTCATAAGAACAGTCATATAAAGTCAGACAGACCATCCAAGTAATGTAACTCTCAGAAAACATTCTTCCCAAGGAAATTTTGCTCAAACAAGCCAATCAGTATTACATTACCACTTATTTCCTGTAAGGGTAACGAGACACGTTGCTTTAGTTAATTACTTGGTTTGTTAAAAAGCACATTTAACAAAAACACTATTTATCCCCGTTAATTGGAAAAATAGTAGAATACTAAATCATATTTGTTACTTGTAAGACTTGTGCCTCATCTGGGCATCTCCAAAGTTTGAGGGAAGGGAGCAAGGAGGTAGGAAAATTGTTTCACATGTTATTTTGGTTAGTCCAATTATTTTTTGAGACCAGCTGTATTGGATTTTCTGTAAGGGGTTTTGGGTTATTTTTTGGTAGCGGGGGAGCGCTATGGAGACAGAGCCGGGGGAGCTTTCCAGTAGCTTCTTACAGGGCTGAAATGCCAGACCCACCTCTGATCAGGGCCAAGACAATCAGCACCCCTGCAAATTCATGTATTCAAAGGGGGTACAGCACATGCGCTTTCCCTCTTGCACTGGCCCTGACCAGCATGGTCCTGGGTGAGGGTGGCACAGCCCTGGCCCTAAAGTAAGCTCAAGCCCCGCTGCAGCTGTAGCCCAAAAGAGAGAGAGCCAGGAACCTTTCAGAACTCTCAGAAGGGACCTGCAGCAGAGAAAGGAAAGGGATGCGAGAACAACTGTGCAGACACCAAGGTTGGCGAAATAAGAAAGGAGAAGGGGAGGAGGAGGTGTGTGGAGCCAAGGTTCCCCCTGCAACCTGTGGCGAGAGCTGCAGACCCGCCTGCAGCCCTGTGAAGGTTCACTGGTGGGGCAGATCCACATGAGCAGTGGCTGCCTCTGAAGAGGCTGTGACTCCGGGCAGTGTGTGCTGGAGCAGTTCGTGTGTGAGGGAACTGAGACTGTGGGCAGCCCCAGATTGGAGCTTTGTGGACTTGGACTGAGGCAGTTCGTGTGTGAGGGAATGGCAACTGTGGGCAGACCTACATCTGGACTTCAGTGGAAGACTTTTCTCCTGTGGGAAGGGTGCCACATGAAAGCAGAGGGAGACTGAGAGGAGTCTTCCCTATCCCCGCCACAAAGAGGAAGGAGTGGCAAAGACTACAGAGGATGAACTGACTGCAACCTCTATTCCCATCCCCCTGTGCTGCTGGGCAATGGTGGAGAGGGAAAGAAACTGGGAACAAAGCTAAGCCCGGGAAGAAGGGAGGGGTGAGGGGAAAGTGTTTGACTTTAAGATCTGGTTGTATCTCTCACAGTTCTACTCTGATGTTATTGGAGCAAATTAAAATTGTTTTGTTTTTCTCCCTATGATGAATCTGTCTTTTGCCCGTGACCGTTAAGTGGTGCGGAAAGCCTTCCCAGACCTTATTTTGTCTAGCCCCTTTTGTGGGCATTGTAGTACTCAGTTGTCCACTTGGCCTAAACCACGACATCAGCATAAGCAGAAATGGATACACATTTTTCTACAGTGCAAAAAAACCAACCATAATCCATGCACGGATGTTTCTGTTGGTGGGATCTTCTTGCACAGTCTGACATATCAACATTTCAAAAAGCTGTGTAAGAGCTACTACAACGTTGGCATTGCTTGTAGGTATCAGTTCCTAAGAGATGCAAAAGGATGAACACTTTATCACAGAACCACAGATTGTTACGAGTTGGAAGGGACCTCGAAAGCTCAT